CTCGCTAATCGCTAATCGTGAAACTAAATCAACCAACGATCAATTTCGAGCACCGCAAAGAGCTTCAGATCGCCCCCTGGCTCTCTCATTGTGTTCACAGCGGTAATAACTGGCTTAATGGTCACGGTTAATTCTCGAAATAGTCTTGTATTTTCCTCGTTACGCGGATAATCGCCGAGCGAATTACTAAACAATTGGCGAACAATCTTCAGAGTCCACCAACAATATCGAACCGGCGATACGTGTGCGATTGGATTCGATCAGCAACAGAAATGAAGAATATCGAGCTTTAGACGTCGGTTAACCCCTGCTGCGGTCAGAGTTTCAATTTTCCTTCAGTTTCAATGGAAAAACAAGATATTTTCGATGGAAGGAAATTCGGCGTTTTCAACTTCCGTCGGATACGGAGGACCGAGGATTATTAAATCTGCTCGCAATTGTTGGTAAAACAGTGCTCCATAATATTAATTCTCGGTACTCGAGTCCGAAACTTCGTAAGATTTCGAAACCCTCGAAACTTTCGACACTCGAAACTCTCGAAGCTTGAAGCGCTGATTTGATTTCGCAAGAGGAATCTCTCGTTTCGAGAAGTTAAGCAGTTGGCGCTTTTATGTGAATTTTTATTCGATACAGACAAGCAAAATACGTACGAAAGTACTATATCCTTTTTTGGAGTGAAGTACCAAATCCTTGATTCTTTTTTTCGAATTCAATCTATTTTTCTTTTTCATCGACTATATGTATTGAAATCTTTTACAGTACTTATACTATTAGTATAATCCTTTTTCGATAACATCCTTTTCCTTTTCTTTAGATTTGGACATTTTACATTGGACATTATTTTTCTAAGGATACTAACACCCGATCTCTTTTTGAATTCAATCTATTTTTCTTTCTTATCGACCATATGTATTGAAGTCTTTTACAGTATATTATTATAAGTATAATCCTTTTCCTTTTCTTTTAGATTTGGACATTTTACATTGGACATTATTTTTCTAAGGATACTAACACCCGATCTCTTTTTGAATTCAATCTATTTTTCTTTCTTATCGACCATATGTATTGAAGTCTTTTACAGTATATTATTATAAGTATAATCCTTTTTCTTTTCTTTTAGATTTGGACATTTTACATTGGACATTATTTTTCTAAGGATACTAACACCCGATCTCTTTTTGAATTCAATCTATTTTTCTTTCTTATCGACCATATGTATTGAAGTCTTTTACAGTATATTATTATAAGTATAATCCTTTTCCTTTTCTTTTAGATTTGGACATTTTATATTGGACATTATTTTTCTAAGGATACTAACACCCGATCTCTTTTTGAATTCA